TCATCATCATTTACAACATCAAAGTTCAGTTTCTCCACAACCGGTTAGTGTTCTAATATGTGTTTGATTCTTTGAATTCTATCATGTTTGTAAGATTAAATCCTTACTTGGGAGTGAATTTCTCAACAAGCAAATGAAGAGAAAAGGAAAAAATGACATCTCGGATACGAACTAGGCTCTACTAGGAAAGGAAATAAGTGATGTTTCACCAAGCAAAGACACAAAGTTTAACTCATGGCAGGAATAGTTGTAACTTATAATTTACTGCAGCAAGAAAAGGAAGAAAAAAAGAAGCCTATTTGAAAATATAGCTTTTTTTTTCTGTAAAATCTAGAAATTAATGATTAATTATCTTATCATTATATGACCTTAATCAATCTTCTTTCACACATAACATCGTACCAATCATGATTTAATAACATTGCAAAAATATTTCTTCTCTCTTCATTTCTCACCTCCATACCATCAACCAATCTTCAACCACAACAATCACTTTCTCATCCAAGATTAAGTTCAAGATTAGCAACAAAGCTCTAAGGCTTGTCATCTATCACACGTTTGATTTTCCTTATCTCTTAAATCTTGTATTTTGATCATGAATTCATCTATTTCTAAGCTTCCCAACATGTATACCTAAATAAATTTGAGACAAGAAATTGGTTAATTAGTTGTTCTTAGCATGTTTTAATTTGTATTGACTTTTAATTGTTAAATTTGTTCTATTTAGATTGTTGTCCAAAAACATAAATTATGTTTTGTTTGTGATATATATTATGGGTACTCAATCATAAACATATTGTATGATTGTTGTGTCGAGAAACATAATTTATGTTGTGTTTGTGATATATATTATGAATACTCAATCATAAACATATTGTATGTTAATACACAAATGAACACTTTTTGAACATACTGTTAGACTTCTTTTGTCTTTTTCCAGATTGAAGTTTTACGAGGGAATTTAATTATTTAATTATATTATTTACATTGAGGGATTGGATAACTAATATAGTTAATAATAGGGCTATCGTTGCACTTAAACAACTAGTCTCGTTTTGACCATCACTGCGAAATGTTGATTAGTTACTTATTTTTGACGACTTGTATTGGGTCCTCAAATATTAATTTACAATTTCTTACAATCTATATAAGAATAAAACTAACAATCACATCTTTCAAATAAGCATTGAGCAATTAGTTACAAATTTCTACTCTACTTGCTATTGGTTGAACTGTGAGTTGATAAAAATCTCTTATCTCAATCACTTTTATTTTATTACTTTTCTAAACAAACAAAAATAAAAAGAAACGCATTTTAAACTATAATCCTTAGTTTGTGTTCAATTATTTTATTTTCCCGCTTCTCTGTGGTTCGACACCCTACTTCATTGGGTAAAAAAATAGTTGTGCCAATATATGGTACACACCAGTACAAAACCGACAGTTAGAAACCCATTTTAACAGACATTAAAAACCATTTTTTCACTAGTGACACTAGTTCACTCAAAGGCTAGGAAAAACAACAACAACAACCATAATTATAGCAACAATTATAGTCTAAACTAGTATCCATAAGGGCCCGTTTGGTAATTTACTCATTAAAACTTTACATGTAAAATGATTGCATGTAAAGTTTAGGGCGGTAAAATAGTTTACATGTAAAATAGAATACATCGTTTGGCTATGTGTGTTATCTATTTTTAAATTACACGCAAACTGAATTAAACATGTGTGGCAAAAAAGGATTAATCCATCTCTCGTTGTCAAAAGAGATTGAGCAAATAAACCAAGCAAATAGACAGATCGAGCAAAGACTGATCCCAGGCTTTATATACTACAGTACATACGTATAATATACATATAATATACATATAATGTATATATACAAAAAAGAAAGAAAATATCCAAGCGTTTCTTAAAAAACTAAGCAAAGATAGTTGCTGAGTATATCAAATTAACGTGGATGGAGAGTAGATCGATCTAATTTGTAGGTTGTAGAACCTCTTGTTTTCTTGTATACTACGTAGGATTGGTAGGAGAAAACCTGCGGGCAATATTTTTGATTTGCCGCTGCGATGGAGTCTTCAGAGCCGCAAGGTTGGAACCCGGTATATTTATTCTGCCTCAAATTAACTGTGTAAAGCAGTTTACCACCCTCCACATGTAAAATGTTTTACGTGGTACTGTGTAAAGTGTTGTTAAAAAAGTGCCCTACAGTTTACATTAAATAGTTAAAACAAACGGTGTCAAATGTTACTTCCCCACACTTGAGACGCAAAGTGTTTACTTTACATCTTAGCAAACGGGCCCTAAAAGAATAGTTCTCACGGTCTGCTCCTAGCATAGTCTAGGGTTTTTCGTCCGGCCAGCGGCTTGCGCCGTCTGTTGCTTGGATAGGTTGGGACAATGAAGGATAGTATGTAGTGGAACTAGACGTCGTTGGCTCTTGGCGGCGGCACTGATTTAGGGTTAGGTGACTAGATTCAATTGCTTGTCTCAGCGTTGATTGGATTGCTCGGCTTCACCACAGGAGGGCTGTTCGGGAAGGGTGGCTGGCTTGTCGGACATGGCTGGGCAGTGGACAGGATGGTTTGACAAAGAGGCAGGAGGACTCTGCGCCGAATTGCTCATGATTTGATCTCTTTTGAGGGCTGGATGTTCCGGCATTGTTTTAGGGCGGAGGTAAGTTGTTTACCTTTATGAGCTTTGATGTATTCCTTTGTTGAGTTTGCAAGAGAATATGCATTGCTGGTGCTGCAGGGCCTGCAGTGGGTTTTAAAAAATGAATCTATCCACAATGCAAAGCAACAGGGGGAGAATCGAGAGATGTTAGTGGCATAGTTGAGGAAGTGAAGTTAGAGGAATGACATGTGATGTGACACTAGAGCTTGAATCTGATGCCGAAAAGAATGGGGTTGGAGCGAGCTTTGGGTGACATGCTCGACGAGAATCTTGACTCAGCACATTTATTTTTTCCATTTTTTTCATTCTCAGACAATGTCGGTTTTTTACTTTTGTTATGTTTTTATTTTTTGTAGCCATGACATTAGAATTTGCGTTCTTGTTATGACCATGGTTTGGAGCATCCATTTTGTGGGTGTTCTGTGGGACAATCTCTTCCTTTTGATCACAATATGATCAAAAAACAATCATGCTTAATAATGGAAGTAACGAGTTCATGTTCTACCCTATCTACAGCGGCTGGTCGCAGCTCTCCCTGATCACCTCCAACCCTTTAATTGTAGCAAACGTAGGTAAATAGTTCAAGCCTTGGATTACAATCTTAGAAGTGATGTATTCCTCTTGGCCATTGCTGATTTTTTTTGTCCACTGGAGTAAAATACTCTTCGTCTTCTCAACACCTTTGATTTTAACAATCCATTGCAGCACAATTAGAACAGTAGAAGTGCTACGCACATTGACGTTTTATTTGTAGACTAACTTTTTCCCTGAATGTTTAGAGCTCCCTTTTTCTAGGTGATTTATTGAATTAGTAGCTCTTGAGGCTACATTTTGAAGACTGCATTCCCAACTTGCTATAAACTATAAAGCTAGAACTCCTAGAAGATGGCCTGTTGATTGGAGAGTTGAGGGATTTGGGCAGTTCAGAAAAGATGCAAAAGAGCAAGTTGCTCTTTTTCAGGTCAAAGGCGTAAAGGTTGAAATTTCACAGTCAATTAGAACAGGAAATGAATTTACATACAGAGGTTGGAAAGATTTTGGGCGATGTTCATTGATGCATTTTTTCAAGGGAAAATGGAAACTAATAATCCAACCTTTTAGCGGTCTTCTTTCAATAATCCCACTTTTTGATTATTCATGAATAATCCAACGTTTGCACCTTATCTTCATTCACTGGTCCCTGACCGGTTGATGACTTGCTATTCCAAGCTATTTTCTTATCTTTGCAAATCATTATACCATAAATCTCATCTTTCACAAAGATAATATTTTGCAAAGATAAGAAAATAACTTGGAATAGCAGGTCATTAACCGATCAGGGACCAACGAATGAAGATGAGGTGCAAAGGTTGGATTATTCATGAATAATCAAAAGGTGGGATTATTGAAAGAAGACCACTAAAAGGTTGGATTATTAGTTTCCATTTTCCCTTTTTTCAAACATGAATGCACCTTTTTAACAAACGGTGAAGGCATAGTAACAATAATACATTCCAGATTACTACTACCTCCGTCCCTAAAAATCTCCCAATTGCGGGTTACGATGTTTGACAAACGATAAAGTTAAATGATTCCCTGTCAAAATTCAAATTATTTTTAGTAAATAAAATTTACATATTCAGAAACTACATTACAACCGCTACAGAGCCTGTAAAAGAATAATTCAATTTTCATAAAATTTTGATATATAAAGTAAAAGGTTAAGAGTGATATAAGTTGACCCTTAAAAGCGAAATGGAAGATCTTTCATTGACGGAAGAAGTACTAGTAGTTAAAGAGTGCACAGTAAAATCTTCGCAAATTACCATAATAAGAGCAAACAACTAGGAGAAGAAAAACTTGAATATACTAACATCCAAAAATGCATACCTCACAGTAATCGCAAACAACCCAAAAAGGGTGTTGCTAGCAAAGAGACGAGTTTTGGGTTGATAGTTGATACGAGTGATTACTTTACAATCGGTTGAATGAAAATGCTAGGTTGTATAACGTTTTTATTCGGTCCATTTTTTTCAACTTCAACTTGGTCATGCTTTTCATCCAAATGGAGCTACTTTCAAATTGGCAGAATCAACTAAATCTCGTGAAATTTATAAAGTTTTGGCTAAAGTGACTAAATTGGTTGATGACTTGATTCTGCTCAATTATGGGAAAATTATATTTAAAATATTTTTTAATAATAAAATAAAGAAAAAATATATAAATGATTATCTAAAATGATCTCTTGCAAAGCTTCAACCGATTCATCCAAAAAAATATCTCCAACCTTACTTATTTTGATAATTATACAACTCAATATGCAAAATTAAAAGTTACGTGTTTACTAAAAAATTGACTAACTAGATTGATAAACTGAAAGGGATCACCAAACAGACCCTTATAATATGTATAAATTTACTTTATTATTCATGTACATCAGTACTAAGACTTTTTTTTGTCATAATAGGTATACAGAACATTACTTGTAGACTTGTAGTTTACGTTGGGCATGTACTAAAGATGTTTTCTTTTGGACTGAAATTTGCTGGTCTGGTCTGATCTGGTAAACGTCTGGTCTCTGTGTATTTTATAACTGCAGAAGTCATGTCAGGTCTGGTTTGATCTGGTCTGGGATTTGAAAACAGTCCAAAAGAAAACATCTTGACTAGGATACAACTCAAGAGCCTCAAGGGCATCTCCCTAGACAATACATACATGATACATCAAGGATGAAACAAATGGGGAGACTAGCTGGTGTTTGCTTTTTTCACTTTGCTTGACTTGGTCATAATATATACTCCAGATATAATAAGTGCAGCACCAATAAACCACTGGAAAAAAGAAGGCAATATAGTAATTAGACAGCAGTACTTAGAAATTTTGGTGGTGTCAAGAATTCTTGTGTCCCAACACCAAGAATAGTCTTGTTTGATCTCTTTTCCCCCCTCCCCTCCCACCCCCAAAAAGACAAGGTTGTGGATGACAAACTAGACCAACTAATTTTTTAATTTCTATTGTTAGCTAACTAAATCCATCGTGAATAACTCATTTATGAATATTTTTTATTAAGAAAAATTGACCACAATAATTCCACCTTTCATCGATCTTCTCAGAATATAATTCCACCTTTACTAATCTCAGAACAGTCTCATGTTTCGATTTTTCTTTTTCTTTTTTCTCTCTGATATTTTTCTTTCTTTATTTTTATCCTTAGACACTTTTTATTCCTGTCTTTTTTATTTCTTTTTCATATTTACATATTCTATTTCTCATTCTATTAAGAGAGTTTTTATAAAATTTCCTTCCCAGACATATATTTTACAAAAGATATTTTGTCCATTCTAATTTTATATTTTCTTTTAATTTTCACTTTCCCCCCTTTTCTTGTTATTTTTCTCCTTTCTTTTGTTTCTTCTTGCTACCATAATTCCACCATCAATGTTTTTTTTTACTTTTTCTACTATCTGCATCATCATATTTATCTAAGTCCACCCAATATTCCACCAAATACGAAAAAAACTTTGTGAAAACAATTAGGAAAATAATTGAATATAAAGATCAAATAAAAAAATCAAGGAAAAATAAGAAAGAAAACGACGTACACTTTACACGAAAAGTGATAGATGAGTGGTAAATTAGCTGAGAAGGGAAAAAGTAGGAAGAAATCTAGAACAAGTCACTAAATATGTCAAAAACTAGCGTAAAGGGATGAGGTGAACAGGGACCAAGAAAAAACAAGGGAAAAGGTACAAATAGGCCCATGTACTAACAAAAAAAGGTCAAATAAGCCCTTATTTAGGAGGCTCTGTCCGGGCGTCGCCATTTGGGGTGGTTCCCGGTGGAATTTTTTGATGAAATTTTTTGAGCGTCTTATTCAATAAGTCTAGTTTACTCATACCAAATTTCAACTAAAACTTCAATTGGGAAGGCATTCAAATGAATTCTTGAAAATAACTGCGCAGTTAGAAGCGCAGTTATCTTCAAGAATTCATTTGAATGCCTTCCCGATTGAAGTTTTAGCTGAAATTTGGTATGAGTAAACTAGACTTGATGAATAAAATGCTCAAAAAAATTCATCAAAAAATTCCACTGGGAACCACCCCAAATGACGACGGCCGGACAGAGCCTCCTAAATAAGTGCTTATTTGACCTTTTTTGGTTAGTACATGGGCCTATTTGCACCTTTTCCCAACAAACAATGACTTTTAAAATGATGAAAAAGGAAACAAAGAAGAAAGAGAAAATAAAAAGTAAAGTAAAAATTGAAATAAAATAATACTCCCTCCGTCCCGCTATGATTGTTCAATTTTACCATTTTGGTCCGTCCACTAAGATTGTCTCATACCTTATTTGGTAAAGTTTGTGTGATTCTAAATCATTTCTACTTTATTCTTAGTTTATCAATTCAATATCAACCACATAAACCCACTTTTATTAATAACCGTGCCACCTTCTCTTGTCCCAAACTTAGGGGGGTGGAGGTAGTACTAGTAATGAATAGTGCAGGATAAGGATCTTTAAAAGAGAATTAATCGATAGTAATACATAAAAATGGAAATAGAGCGAAAATGAGGAAGAAGAAGAAGAAAAAGGAAAAGAAGAAAGAAAAAAAAAACTATTGAGGAGAATTTGTACAAAAAAGGCTTTTCTGATAAGGCAAACAAGAAATACACAAAAAGATAAAATAAATATAATAATAAGATGAAAAAAAGGAAAAGATGTGCTGAGATGATAGAAATAACAAAAGAAAATTTCTAGTGAGAAAAAAGAAAAATGATATATGAGATTGTTTTGAGAAGAACGATGAAAGGTGGGAGTGTGAGACTATTTATGTAAGGTTTGCAGATAAAAGGAAAAAAATTACCTGATATAGCGGGTTATTAAACCATTCAGAAATCAATGAAAGAAGATGAGGTGCAAATGTGAGATTAGTCTAGGATTATATAAAGGTGGGATTGTTCGGAAAAGACCGCTAAAGGTGCGATTATTGTTGCCAACTTTTTTGTTTTCTTTTAACCAAATTACACTCAGAAAAACAGTTTCATTTGATCAAACTCGGCCTTAAATCCTTGAGATTATTCCTATAATAGGAGTTAAACATGTTAAATAGGTAAATATAGGAGTAAATGTTTAAAATTCATTAAATATTAATCTTTTATTCAGATTGGGCAAGAATACCCCCTACAGGGGTTGGAGCTTGTCACTACCCATTGGGCTGCTGCCGTCGGATCTCTACCACAGCCGAACCTCTGCCCCCGCCGCTAACGAACGGACCTTGGTTGTGTAAGAGAACTAGAAGACAATTAATTATATGAATTAAACATATTAAGGGTAGAAAGGTAATGCTTAGTCCTATGTAGGGAATGTAAACCATGAACTCTTATTTAGGGAAAAAAATATGTTCTATTCGTATTTAGGGCAACTATTTTTAATTTTTTAATCAAACATGTCTTTTTTATACTCTCTCCATCCCTAAATAAACTATTCACTTTCCTTTTCGAATCGTCCCTTAAAAAAGTCTCATTTTTATTTTTAATAAAAACAAATACATTTACCTTACTATCTTATTTTCAACACTTATTAGCCACATTTACTTCCCACTCACCCTACACCCTATCCACCTCTTCATATTTATATTCCACCTTCTTCATTTACTCTACTCACCCCTCTCAGTTTTGTCATTCCTCCACAATTTCAAACCCAAGATCCATGGCAAATTCAGGTGGTGGGAACTGGGAACATAGCGGATGAAAAGTGGTTTGATAAGTCCGTATTTAGACACGCATTTGATGCATGTTGAGATCAGCTTTTGATGGCTTTCCTAGCTTTAAGGTGTTACGAGTCTCAATTTTAGCTCAAGTTATGTTTACCAGGCGTTGGTTCAAGTTTTGTGTCATTTGGAGTCAAAATCAGGATTTTAGAGTTCGGCACCGGCGCTTGAGGAGAAATCGGGACGAGTTGAGAAGCATTTGAGACTGATTTGAGAGTTTTGGAAGTCAATGGGAGGTTTACGATGAAGATTTGATGACAAAAGAGCTCTAGGATTGGATACGGGATCAAAAGAAGATGCATGAAGCTGGAAAAAGACGATCAGGATGACCTTCTATCACTCGTTCAAGCATATCTCTTTGTAGAAACATCCAAAGGACACGATTCAAGTTCCACGTGAAAGCCAACTTCAAGGGATACAAATCATATGAAGACACCATTACGAGAATATGAGAGAAAGAAGGTGAAAACAGACGATGAAGTCAGATGATCTCTGCTGCGATTTCAGAATGAGACCTTTCACCGTTTTGATCATATCTCTTGATTGGATGATTCAAATCCAATTCCGCAAGTTGGGGTGGATAGAGGACTTCATTATCTACAACTTTCATGAAGGAAATTTTGTCAAATTCGGAAGTTTGAGGCGAGAAAGCAAGAGAGCCACTGCCATGTACGCACGATCGTGCGTGGCAGGGTACGCACGATCGTGCGTACCCCCGAAACACGGATTTCAGCCTCTTTTTAGTCTCAGTTCAGCCCAAACTCATCTGTTTTCTATAAATAAGGCCTCCTTCTCCTGTTTAAGGGTTACGAACATTACGGAAAGGCCAAGGGACGAATTTAACATCGTTTTTACGCTATTTTCTTCCAAGACCCTGAGATTATTTGTAAGTTCATCTTTTTAATTAATGATGACAATTATTTTTATTCATCCCAAATCTGTTGATTCTTCAATTATGAATTGTGAGTAGTTTAATTAGGGGTTTGGGATTGATGAAAGGGTTAATCATGATTGATGGCTAGATTCTTGTCGGTTTAATTGCATGAATGTCGTTTAATTTGTGTTTGAATAATTTAACTGATATCTCTTGTAACCTAGAATCGCGACTAGAATTACAATTGCATGTAGCGTTTAATCTCTTGTCCGATGCAAGGATGCAGAACATGGAGAATCAATTAGGGCAGATTGCAAATGCTTTATCTGAGGAGTCTGAGAGAGCCCATCATAGCGACATAGAAGCCCAACCTGAGGAGACCAATAGGGATGATCATGTGAGTGAGTCGGACTGCGAAGGTGGGAATGTGATGGATGGTACACCTCCTGATGCTTTTGAAGACCCTCCTATGTTTGAAGATGAAGAAGAAGATAATGGTGTCAAGTTGTTTTTAGAAGAATACAGGAAAAGGTTTGAAACGGTACAAGTTGTAACTGATGAAGTCACTGATCACCGCAATTTTCATACAGAAACTCCCCATCCATTTGATTTACCATTAGTCTCAACACCTAACGAGGAGGGCAAGGAGCAAATTAGTCATGATGATGGTGCTACTGAGGTAGGTTTGGGTATTGAAAATGAGTTGGGAAAAGATGATTACATGCTCCAAGAGTGAGGGCGAGTTACATGATGTTCATAATGAAGAAGTATTGCTCCACAAGCAAGAATTCCCCTCTTGTACACATGCACCGGTCCACTCTTACGTGGTTTCAGATATGGACTTCTTTGATTCACTCCTTGATGACGATATTCCTTTTTGTGTGAAGAATGACAACATCATCCGAGAAGTTATTGATAAGAACGGTGTTAACGAGAGTTGGGATGCCTTCATGGGGAGTGATACAGAGTCCAGAGGAGAGGTTGTGAATTTTCATGATATTTGTGAGGAAGAAGAAGACTTTTCTATGGTGCAGTTTGATTACGGTGTTGCTCCTACTCCTTGCTTGGAGACATGTTTTGAGCTTCCGGTGATGCCTAGAGTGATCAAAGTTTTCACTCATGTTCCCTATCCACATGAAGAGGATGAGAGTTTCATACTTCACTTCTGTGCTGATGAGGGTTATGAAGACCATGTGCCGCCTACGCATATTCGAGAATTTAAGGATCTGCGCCACCTAATGGCATTTGTTGAGGGGAAGCTGGAAACGTTGATTACTAGTGCACCATTACAGTCTTTGTTAATTGAGAGCTTATGAGGTATCATCAGGCAAATGACGTTAAAAATAGCGCTTCTTGGGAGGCAACCCAAGCTTATTTCTGCATTTTTTTTGTTTGTTTGTTTGTTTGTTTGTTTGCTTTCAGAAAACCCCCGGAAAAAAAACCAAAAAAAAAAAAACCGGGGTGTTTTTTTGAGTTTGTTTTTGTGTTTGTGTGTTTTGTTTTTACAGCTCAGGGTCTTGCCTTGGGGATGATGTGCCGAGGATCACTTGACTCAGTTTAGTTCTGCATCGACCAGCGCCTTAGGGAAGTTTTTTATGACTCTTACAATCGTCTGTTTGTAATAATTGACTTGAGTTAAGTTGAGCACGCGTGACCCTATCCTCTTTACCCCCTTGTGCATAGTGCATTTTTGGTCATCGAGGACGATGCCAAAGTTTAAGTGTGGGGGAGTGAATTGGGCATTCAGGCAGTAGTTGCTACATGTGATTATTAGAGTTAGCATGCGCAGGTGTTAGTTGTATATTCATAGGAAAAGACGTGTCAAAATTTTTGAAAATTTTTCTTTAAACTGTGTCTTGTGAGCTGGCTAGCGTTTTGACTATGCTTTTACAACATCTTTGAAGTGTTTAGGCTTAATTTGCTTGCACAATATTCTAGTTGTTGAAAGGATGAAGGCATTAGTCACCCATTGAATAGATTCAAAAATCATCCACCCCACCTGAAAAAGTCCTTTAGGAGAAGCCACTTTGAGTCTGACCGTTTATTATTTACCCAATCAATTGAGCTCCATAGCCAAATGGCCTGTGTTTTCTTACCCGTGAATATTTCTGACTTAGTCTTGATGTTTAGGGAACTAGGAGATTAATTTACTAAGTTTAGGAAATTTTTGTAGGAGCCATTTTTGGCACTGTTCCTATGTCCCAAATAGGGTAAGAGCAGTCACCTTTTAGGAATTTGATATTTTTGAAGATTGCATTGTAGGCATGGATTCACCTTGAATAATTGAACTTTAATTGCTAATTTTCCTTGGTGAGGCCGAGATTAGAATGGGGTAATGTCTAGTAAAAGTCTGAAAATTGAAAAAATTATTATAGCTAGACCTCTTGCCTTGCGAAAAAGAGAATGGGAACCCCGGTCAAAAAGCGTAAGATGAGACTTGGGTATCTTTCAAAAGAAATGGCGTTCTCGTGCCAACATGACAAAGAAAAGTGAACCTAATTAAATGAACATGGAGGCTATCGCAAAAATTAGCTTTAGTCCTCCGCGTACTTCAAGTATACGTCAAAGCACAAATGTGCCGTGGCGGTTTAGCTTAGTTGTACACCATGTCTACTCTTTGCATAGGGTTAGATGATTGTTCCTAAATTGTGGCCTACTAAGTTCTTTTATCCTAAGAATAGCCCCGAAATTTCCGAATGCATTGAGTCTTTGTTAGAATGTTCCAAACTCTCAAGAAAGGAACTGTTTATCCTTACCATTCACTCTTCACCACCGTCTTCACAAGTCCTTCTGATCGGTAGCTAGTTTATTTGTGTGTGCTGTCACTAATTTCAGGATGTTGTGAATAATTTTGTCAAATATTTTAGCTAGAGTACAAAGATGTAGTTTATGGAAGAATTTTCTTGGTTTGGTCTGCCTGTTCTATGAATATCCCTTTAACTACGTGTGCATGCTAATTGTTTTGATTCTGTGTGGTGATAATCGCAAGTCTCGTTGTTCAGTTTGCTTAAGGACAAGCAAAGGCTTAAGTGTGGGGAATCTGATAAGTCCGTATTTAGACACGCATTTGATGCATGTTGAGATCGGCTTTTGATGGTTTTCCTAGCTTTAAGGTGTTACAAGTCTCAATTTTAGCTCAAGTTATGTTTATCAGGCGTTGGTTCATGTTGATAAGTCCGTATTTAGACACGCATTTGATGCATGTTGAGATCGGCTTTTGATGGTTTTCTTAGCTTTAAGGTGTTACAAGTCTCAATTTTAGCTCAAGTTATGTTTATCAGGCGTTGGTTCAAGTTTTGTGTCATTTGGAGTCAAAATCAGGATTTTAGAGTTCGGCACTGGCGCTTGAGGAGAAATCGGGACGAGTTGAGAAGCATTCGAGAGTGATTTGAGAGTTTTGGAAGTCAATGGGAGGTTTACGATGAAGATTTGATGACAAAAGAGCTCTAGGATTGCATACGGGATCAAAAGAAGATGAATGAAGCTGGAAAAAGACGACCAGGATGACCTTCTGTCACTCGTTCAAGCATATCTCTCCGTAGAAACATCCAAAGGACACGATTCAAGTTCCACATGAAAGCCAACTTCAAGGGATACAAATCATATGAAGACACCATTACGAGAATATGAGAGAAAGAAGGTGAAAAC